AGAAAGAAAGAAAAAGAAAAGAGGCTAACAGAAATACTGCAAAGAGGGTAGGAACATGGCACATGTATATAGGGTGGCTGTATTTTCTTGGTGGTAGAGAGAGGTTGAGTTTTGTTTCTTTTTTAACCAAGATCTGTCTCTTTAAGGATATGCACCATGATTATATGCATTTCCTTCTTCCAGGTGGGAGGAATGTACACTCCAGGGATTATTTGGAAAAGATGTAAGGGCATGCTGACCTCAGGTCACTAGTTTGGCTCACAACTCTGCCAGTTTCATGAACCTGCTTTTCCACTTCTGCAACAGAAAGCTTTTGACTTGTTTTCCAAACAGCTTGTAGTTCACGTGGGACTGTCTGGCATGGCCACAACGGTGACGTTAGAAAAATGCGGCCACAACGTGGGATACCGGGGTTTGGACAACTGCCACTTCTGTCCAGGTTCCGAATGCTGCATTGAAGGGGGCCCGGAATGCATCGATTCGATCATCGACATGGATGCCGTGTGCAAGAGAGTCTCTGCATTGGGACTGGATGTCACCGTCACGATATCAGAGGACGCTGGGCGGTATGAAGTGGAGAGGAAAGGGGAAGGGGAAGAGTGGAGATGGAGAGAGGCAGTTTGAGGTACAGGTAGTCCTCGACTTACAACCATTCGCTTAGTGAACGTTTGAAGTCACAACAACACTGCAAAAGTGTCTTTAGGACTGTTTTTCACACGACTGTTGCAGCATCCTGATGGTCACATGATTGGAATTCAGGCGCTTGGCAACTGGCAGGTATTAATGACAGTTGCAGTATCCTACGGTAACGTGATCACCTCTTGTGACCTTCTGACAAGCAGAGTTCATAGCTGAAGCCAGATTTACTTAATGACCATGATTCACTTAACTGTGGTAAAAAGGTTGTAAAAGGAGGCACAACCTACTTAACAGATGCTTTGCTTAACAGCATACATTTTGGGCTCGATTGTGGCCATAAGTCAAGGACTACCTGGAGTCTTTTTGTATCTTTCCTGGCTGATTTGTCTGAATGCTGAGCTTCCAGGCATTCCCTAGCATTTTTGAAATGGGCTTGGTCTAAGATGCCAATAATTTCCCAGTTGAAACTGCGGTTGAGTCTGTCCATGTGCTATGAGATTAAGGAGTCACCTTATAGAGGAGGTGGCTGGCACAAAAAATTAATACATTTAATACAGGAGTTTTGGTCACGAATTCTGCCTGCTAGTTGCCATTCATGGATGCGCTTGGATTGCTTACGTTGCCTATTTGGGCAATGAAACCATTTCAAGCAAACAGACAAGCTTAGAGAGCACCAAGAACTCCACCATTCAATTCCTGAACTACAGATAATTCACCTGAAAAGAGTAGAGGGATGAAATACCGCAATTCATTTGACTGTACTTTTGTAGGCTTTCAAATGCAAGGGCTTATAAACTTCGCCCCCGCTTCCCTGGCTGAAGAATCTCATTGTTCTTGCAGGTATCTGTGTGACTTCACATACTACACTTCCTTGTACCAGAGCCACGGGCGATCTGCCTTTGTCCACGTGCCTCCCTTGGGAAAACCATACAGCGCAGAACAGCTGGGCCGTGCACTCCAGGCCATCATAGAGGAAATGCTCAATGTCTTAGAACAATCTGAGAGCAACATCAACTGTCACAACGAACATTGAACTCGGGCCAAAGTCCCCGCCTCTTTACTTTCCTCATGGTTGCACTTCCAAAAACTTTTCTCCTGTTCTTACAGAATCCCAGCTGGCAGGATCCACCTAGAAGATTGAGAGAACAGAAATGGATTCCTGACACTCTGAGGAGATACATTTTGGGAGATCCTCCTTTGCTTCTCTTTCAATTCCACCCAAACTAGCTCTCACTAGCTTCTTGGGGTCCCCATGGTGTTCAGGTCCTGCAAAGATTGTTAAATGGATTGAGAGGATTTGCCAGTTAGGCAATTGCTCCAGTTGTCCGATGTGCTCCAGTTCAATTTTGCAAGGTCTTTGTGTTTTCAGAAGGACAGTTTGATGGTTCCACTCAACTCGTAGCAGTGCTTTCGGTTCAAAAAGTAGGACCCTTGCAGGAAGTGCTGTTCCCTTTACAGGAAGACGTATTGTACATTTACCCAGAAGCTTGGAAGTTTTTTTTTCTTCACTGTTTAAAACAGATTCCTCCAATTTATATGGTAGAGTTCTGCTCTTCATGAGGAACGCTTGGGGATGGAAAGAGAGGCGGGAACATTTCCTTTAATTGACACCTCATGCCAAACCTGTTGGTGATTCTTTAAAAAAAAAAAAAAGACCAGATCTCTTTGGGTTTTGCCTTTCCTGACTTCCGTAGCCACCCATCGGTCTGAAATGTAGAGTTTCTCTTCTCTTCTGGCCTGCTGGCTTAATGTGCCCTAGGAACTAGGCCTACCGTAGCTATCTTTCCCAGTGCCTCAAAGTGAGATGCTGCTCAAATATCCTTTTGTACCTTCAGAAAATAACACGGTACATATTCTTTTCTAAACTTTTCTGCTCTGCTGGGGAGGGATGAGACTCTGGATCGAGATTCAGATTTTTTCATTTCTGCTTGCTAGGAGAAGGGGGTGAAGACTTGCTGGCACCACCTCCTGCTTGGTGAAGGCCTCATTTTGCTTCAGCTCCTGCGTCTGGGTTGAAGTCCCCATGATTTCAGCAGAGTAGTTCTCCAGGAATTCCCCCTGGGCGCTTCCCTCCATAATGCTTCCCTGATGGCGGCCCTTGCCGGCTCTGTAGAAAACGATGCTGCACTTTTTACCTAGGTGGGATTAGAGTATAATATACATTCAAAAGATTAAAGACTGTGGGGTGTATTTTTTTTTTCCTTTTAAAACGAGCAGTGTTCAACTTCACTCTAAACAGGAAGACTTTGGGGATGAAGCAGCAAGGAAGCAACTTGTATGGCAGAATGGAGACTTGGCCAGTCTAAAATCCTGGACAATGGAATTGCCTGATAAAACTGAACTGGCCACAAAAAAAAAAAAAGCAACTTTTGCTAAAAATGGTCTGGCTTAAAATGAAACCGCTTCTTCGCTGTAAAATCATTCTTGTTTGAATTTCTCTCTCTCTCTCTCTTTAAAACTAATTGATCCTGCTTTTATAGTAACTCTCAGTGAGAGCTGCCTTGTGCTTGTCAGCTTGCTAAACCCAGTGGTAATCTGGTTGCAAGACAAAGGGCTGCTGAGGTTTGAATGCATGGCCGTATTTTGAGACAGTCTTATGGGAACCTCATCTGTACCCCTTTTCGGGTTGCTAAAATTGCTCTTAAAAGTTGTTTGCACACCAGCCTCTTACTTGCATTCAAATTCCAAGCACCCTTGGGTGTGTGGTAAGTCAGCCAATTTCTCCTGTTTCATTTAATAATTTATTTTATTTAATATTTTTTTTGTCCAAATGTGAAGGCTTCTGGGCTTTTCCCCCTGGTCCCCACTCTAGCAAAGGTGGGCTCATGTTTTTAGATTTGCAAGCAGTCTTCTTCCTTGGAACACTTGGTAAGAGGGCAAACTGTGCAAGGGCCATTTGCCCCTTTTTCTTTAAAAAAAAAAACCCAGCAACAATGCAGTTTGAGAAACAGAAGGCTGCTGTTTTTAGTTCTAATAAAGTGTAGCTGTGAAATTTATATAATCTATTAGATGGGTGCAGATATGCACATTGTATAAAGGCTATCTCTCTTTGAAACGATAAGAATAGGTGAGCTGGATATTTTTTCTTTAAGATGTGAAATGGCTTAACATTTAAATGGAAGGAAAGGTGGGTTGCTACAATTAAAAACCTCCTTTTAGGGGACCAGACTTTTTTTTTAAAGAGATGGTTACCCTTACTGGAAATTTCTCTCCTTCATTCTTCCTTTCTTAAAATTATATTTTCTTTTTATCATCTGTTTGCTTAGGGAATGGGATTTTTCAGGCTTCACTGCAAAATCCTTTGCAAGGTTGGACTGACTTGATTTCAAAGAAAGCTTCTTGGAAAGGTTAGAAGATTTGCCCGGTAGCACTGTCTCATCCTGTGGATTTGACACTTTCATTTGCAGACAGTCACCTTATAGCAGTATTTCCCAACCTTGGTAATTTTAAGATAGCATAGCAATAGCACTTAGACTTATATACCGCTTCACAGTGCTTTACAGCCCTCTCTAAGCGATTTACAGAGTCAGCGTATTGCCCCCAACAATGTGGGTCCTTTTTTTAATTATTATATTCTTTATTGTTTTTTTTAAATATATACCCATATTGTGTGTGAACAGAGTTGGTTCTGGATATCATTCATATAATCCAATTCGCAATAACAGTCTAAGTTACCTCTATCATATTTATCAAATTTAAGTTATCCTCATTATGTTGTTTAAACATACATAAACGAATTACAGTCCTGATTTTACCAACCTTGAAAGGATGGAAGGCTGAGTCAATCTTGAGCCAATCAGGATTGAACTCCAGGTTGTGGGCAGAATTAGCCTGCAGTACTGCTTTCTAACCACTGCACTACCGTGGTATGCTTTCTGGGGAATTCTGTGAGTTGAAGTCCAGATATCTTAAAATTGTCAAGGTTGGGAAATGGTGCCCTACAATAACCCCATTTCTGACCATATGAGTTCAAGGAAGAGCATCAAGCGTCCTGGTCTGTCCATACTGACACAAGGACTCTTCTGCTAGTCCTCCACCATCTCTTGTGTGTTTTTCCTTCCATGGAACTTTTAAACCCTAATAATCACACCATCAACTGGCTGTGTTCAGAAACTTCTGAGTCTGCACCTTTTCTTGAGAACACGATGCTCTAAACATGGATTCTGACTTAGAATGTGTATCAGATATGTACAGATTGTTCTTGACTTACGACCAGAATTGGGACCAGAATTTCCATTTCTAAACAAGGCAGTTGTTAAGAGAGTCATGCCCACTTTACGACCTTTTTGACCATGGTTGTTTAGCAAATCACTGCAGTTGTTCAGTGCATCATTAAGCAAATCCAGTTTCCTCCATTCATTGCTTGTCGGAAGCTGGCTAGGAAGGTTATTTATGGTGTTGATAAGATCCCAGGACACTGCAGCTGCTGCAAATACATACCAGGTGCCCAAAATTTGTTGACGTGACCCTGGGAATGTTGTGGTGTGAGAACTAATCAAAGCCCATTTTCAGTGCTGTTGTAATTTTTGAACAGTCACTAAATGAATAGTTGTAAGTCAAGGGCTATTAGTATTTAGTACAAATAGTTTAAAAATTATTACTTATTCATTTTGCATCCCTCTAATTGACAATTCAGTTACTGGGATGTGAATTATTACAATGGCAATCTGAAACATTTTTTAACCAGCTGTTTTTAAAGCAAAATTCTTTGTGTTTAGTGCAGCACACATAATTTGTTAGCATTGTGTGCAAACAAATGCAGAGCTTTGCTCAGAAACTTATTTTTACTGGGAGATCGGTAAATGTGTGAACAGACTATTCAATAGTATATATTTAAAGTGTTTAAAACAGTTGAGAATGTTGAATTTGGCACAGGAAAGAGGTGTGCATGTAACCTAAAGAGACCTTTTGCCCAGAATTTGGGGAGGGGGAAGGGAAAATCAGACTTTGGAGTGACGTTTTCTGTTGGGTGGTGGGTGGCATGGCTCAGAAAATAGCAGCCCAGAAGACAGTTGCTTCTCTTAATGAACAATATAGGGTGCTTCTATATAAATCATTAAAAGCCTTATTGTGGTATTGGCCCAGCCAAAGCCCCACAGAATGCAAAAGCTTCCCCCATGGACTTTGCTTGCCAGAAGATGGTTTGGGGAGGTTGCAAATGGCAGTCACATGACCCCCGGGGATGCTGCGGCCATTGTAAATTGATGTCAGATGATTAACACCTGAATTTTGTTTGCATGACCATGAGGATGCTGCAGCAGTCATAAGTAGGAGAACTGGTTGCAAGTCCCTTTTTTTCAGTGCCATTGTAACTTTGAATGGTCACTAAACAAAGCCAAGAGCTGCCTTTATATATATATATATATATATCACACAAAGAGTTCATTGCTCAAAGAAATGGATGCAAAGCAGCTTACCCCAGCTGGCCATCCATTTAATTTGATGTTCTGTTAATACATCAAGGAATTCTTATTCAGGAGCTCCAGTGAGGATCCCAGGTTGGACAGACTCAAAAGTACCCTTTGCATTTAGAGCAGGTGTGTCTACTCTTGGCAGCTTTCAAACCCTGTGGTTTTCAACTCCAAGATTTCCCCAGACAGCCATACTTGGATACCCCTCCTTTAGGGGCTGGAGACTGACTGTAGCAGCCACCACCTTGGATTTTTGACCACATGAGCTGCGATGGCGCAGTGGTTAGAGTGCAGTACTGCAGGCTGCTACTTTTGCTGACTGCCGGCTGCCTGCAATTTGGCAGTTCGAATCTCATTAGGCTCAGAGTTGACTCAGCCTTCTGTCCTTCTGAAGTGGGTAAAATGAGGCCCCAGATTATTATTGGGGGCAATAGGCTGACTCTGTAAAGGGGGCTGTAAAGCACTGTAAAGCGGTATATAAGTGCTATTGCTATATGCTGCAGACACCCCCGGATACTTATGTTTAAGATGCTCAACTCCAGTTCCCGAGGATTCAAGCAAAGTTCCCCTAACCTCTGGGAATGCATCCGATTACCTCTCAAAACGCCACCTGGCTCATGTGCCTGCCCTTTGGGTCTGCAGCTCCTTGGAGACTGACCATCTGCTAAAACTGCCGAATTTTGCCAAGGTCTGGAATCTGACCTCTGAATAGCCCAAAATGGTTTTGTTTTCCTTTGAGTTCTCTGACTTTGTTTTCATTCTGTTTTCATCTCCTCAGGAATCTCTTTTCATTAAAGCTCCGGACCTTTGTTTCACCTTCCCCCTATTACACCTGACTAGGACATGTAATTTATTCTATAATTTCCCAGTTTTTTGCAAACCAGTAAATTTTAGGGGACGGTCGTTTTTCCACAGAACCACTGTCTTCAGTACTAAGCACCTGTGTATTTTTTAATGGTTGCATTAAACTCATTTTATTTAATCAATTAAAAATTAAGCGTCCTTTCTGTTTTTCTGCTTCACTTCTGTCTCCTGTTCCCCCAGTTACATTGACCAGTTCTTAACATTTCAGACATTTTCTTCTCATTCATAAACCAAAAGAGGCCACCTGAGGAATGTTGTCGAGGAATTGCGCAGCAACTGTCCAAATGAAGTCTGAGGCACTGACAAAAAATTAACCTACCGTGTTTCTCATAAGGCCGGGTCTTATTTTTTTTTGAGCCCCGAAAAAATGGCTA